GAGAGAGAGAGAGAGAGAGAGAGAGAGAGAGAGAGAGAGAGAGAGAGAGAAGAGGTGGAGACCAGGAAAGGAAAAACAAAAGCCTCCTGAGAAAAAGGCAGAAGTTGCAGAAGAGAGCTGGAAGTCTAACCCAGCTCTGAGTGCACAGGTAATTCCAGTCCTAAATTTCTCTCCCTTAATCAAATTCTTCAGTCCATCAGAAAACCATTCTTATACCAGGCTAGGAAATATGGACTTTGTTCTTCTGATTAGTTGCAGACATCATCTCGGTTTCAAAGCCTTTAAAATGTGATTATTTTAAGTCAACATTTAAAGTTAGATTTGATATAATCATTTAATTGGGCATCGATTCATCTACACAGAACTCATTACTGAATTCTTCAATTTCACCAACATAATTTCCTTCCAAATTATCTTTTATCTAGATGCTGGAAGTCCAAGTGCTATGAAAACTTTGCCAAAATAAAAAGCTTTTAGATTGCTAATGCTGGCTACACAGAGATCCATGGAAGATCGTTGAAGAATAGTGCATGCTTGCCAACTGCCAGATACGACTGCTTTTCGCATAATTAATGTCATTCTTGCTGCTCAAGCACCATTTCCATCCTCTAATAATTTCCATTAATAGAGGAAGTTTCTGCAATAATTTTTGCATCTTGCAAAACCACAGTGGCTTCTAGACACCTTTTAATCAAAATAATGACAGTGGGTGAAGGGAGGACGGTTGGAGATATTACTGCAGTCCCAGCTTGCGGTGCCTTGTCATTGTTTGCAGTCCCTCAAGCTGTTCTGAAGGCTCATTGTGTTGGCTGTGATTGTGACAATCAAACCTCCGTGTTCTGATCTGATTAGCATGAACCCCAATGAATTTATTCCAAAAGGACAAATATATATATATATATGAGTATGTTTAGACAATTTAGCTACAAAAATGGTAAAACAAAATACTCTTTAATGCAGCAAACAAAGGATGAGCAGGTGCAGACAGAAGCCCCATCCCGTGAAACGTGCTCATCTCACAACACTTGAAGCTTTCCGCAAGAGGAAGTGAGGGGCCAGCTGCAAATCAGAACCTCAGACCTGAGAACTCACAGTATTTTTAAAATTCTGCTGTTACAAAAATCAAGAAATTGGCTCAGCATAAGCAATTATGCAAACAGATAAGAACAATAACCACTAATGTCAGTTCAGGTTTCTCCCATGCGCCAAGAGATGAATGCTGAACGCTAGTGGAGCAGCCCGCAAGGGTGGGTGGGGTATCGTGGAGCATAGGGTGTGGTGGCAGGTGGGACAGGCGTGGAAACGGCAGCTGTAACAGAGGCCACTGCTAGTGAAATCTCTAGGAAGCCCAGGACTTTCCTCCACCTGAACACAGAGACTGCAATGAAGGAGTTGGAAGTAAGGGGACAGTCGCTGCGTGTCATTTTCTGCTCTCTTCCAGAGTCACCTTGGGTGCAGTTGAAAGGAAACATCAAAGCCTCATTTTTCTTTGCCTAAGATGGCTTTGAAGAACTTCACCTGTGTCAAGTCCACTTGTCAAGTCCACACACTTGACGGCTTTGTGTGGTCTACTTGGCGGAGGGTGATGGTGTCACTTGGGCAAGAAGCTCCTGCACAGTAGCCTGGGGAGTGGGGAATGTTTTGGATGGAGGAACTCTGTTAGCGATCTTGGTAAAGTTTGAGAACCAGCTCCTTAAACCATGTAGAAATGATATAAAAATGGAGTTTGTGTGTCTTTACAGCTCCTGATTAGTAGATAAAATAGATCATGTGTGGTGTAAGCTGCCTCTTTCTGAGGAGTCTGGCAGGCACTGAGCAGAGGCCATAGCTCAGGACTGGCTTTTGACTTGATACTCATGGCATCTGACCACAGGTTTGACAGGGTTGTTCACACAACTACTTTCTCTGTGGGATCAATACTGATTTTCAAAGTATCTGTCCTGTTTTAAAAAGACCACAGTCTCTTAGTCTCTTTGCTATGTAAGTATACAATGAGTAATATCTAATCTGATACCTCAATCACAAACAGTTTTGCAGTAATAAAAGAATATTCTCTGTATCATCAGACTTGATGGGTATATTTACCTCTACCAAGAGAGAGGTAGGCATTGAGTTCAACATAAGAGTAGCTTGTTCTTAGAAGAGAGGGCAGGTCAGGTCAGGAAGACAGTGCTGTACAGTACCCCCATTCTTAAGGTGTCCCCAACCCAATTAATTCTAACTGAGAAATGCATGAAAGTATCTCATGGAACTGTGCAAGGATGGTCTTGGCCTGAGTGAGTGGTGGTTAGGAGTGCTGACTGTGTGGGTATGAACCTGCCTCAACTACTTACTGCCCATGTGATTAAGACTCACGTTAACTTTCAAGCTTCATTTTTCTCATCTGCAAAGTGATTAATTATATGACCTATTCAGATGGCTGTCATGGGTATTAACTGTATGATGTATGTAGACTACATGGTACATATCATACATAGTCTACTTGTGTGTTCATGTAGACCACACGGTACATATCATACATAGTCTACTTGTGTGTTCATGTAGACCACACAGTACATATCATATATAGTCTACTTGTGTGTTTATGTAGACCACACGGTACATAGTCGACTCATGTATTCATGTAGACCACACGGTATATATCATACATAGTCTACTCATGTGTTCATGCAGACCACACGGTACATATCATACATAGTCTACTTGTGTGTTCAGTGCAGCTTTTCTGTTGCCACAGTGTCATTAAACCTGGCCTTTCCCCTGGCAAGAAAAATACTCAAGACAATTTCTTCCCTTCCCCTTAGATTTATTTCCATAAACCTTTGATGAGCTCCAGCTAAGACATAGATCTACTAGAAGATTCTTCAGTGTTGTGTAACAGTATCCTGGAATAGTAAAACATTCCACCCTGTAGGAAGCTCCTTAAACAGGAAGGCAAACATCTCAAACTAGGTTCAGTCAGTC